TTCTTCCTCCTGTTCTAAAAAATGAAGCTACATCATTTGCAGCAACTGTGTCTATGAACATAAAAGTCTAATGACAACGGGGGTCGTGTTCTTGACCTCTGTCTGTGATTATAACGATAACAACGGTTTAATAATGTGCAGGTCTGAACACACACACACACACAACATGCACACTCACACCGACACACACACATCAGTGGTCTGCTTCTTCTCCGTGCTGGTGCTGTCTTCATCGTCTCTTCGTAGATTCTCCCTCACTCTGTCGCTGTCGTCGCCTCTCTGAGTTAACGGACGCGCTTCAGCAGAGACATCTTCCCTCCCACTCACATGGCAAGACGCTCGTTACTCATTTAACATCATGACTGAGCAGGAAACCCCCCCCCCCCCCCCGGGGACCAGTGTATATAGAACAATGTTTACAGTGTATTTTTTCCCTCACACCCTTTGGCTCATTCTCTCGAGTCGAGCATTCGTCCCCGTGTGTTTGTTCGGGTCACACGCGGTCGAGGAGCGATCACTGTAGTTTTGGCCGTCACAGAATCACAGTTACAGCAGAAACATGAGGTGAGTGTCGACGGTAAACTCAAGAACGAACAGTGTTATCTGAAAAAAGTCATTGACGCTTCCTGGAGTCGTTTGTTTCTCTGACTTTGTTTCTGTTTCATTCACGAAACCAGACGTTCTGACAGATGACGGAACGTTTTCAACAACGTCACAAACCCTGAACAGAACAATGTTCAGCGTCTTTACGACAGAAAATAAGAAAACTTCTGTTTCCTCTGATGAATGTGACACCACAGTGGCTGGCAGTGAGTTCAGGTCCGCAGTTGAATCCAGGACAACACGATACTTAACGTCCGCTGCTGTGTGACAGTAACTCGCCTGTTATTCGTCTTCACGTCCTCGGTGACTCGGAGTCTCTATCTACACAACGGGAATGGACTGGATATAGTGAAGCCGTGTTAGTTGGGTCTGCTTGGTTCCACCTCCTCCTGATGTTGCTACAGTCTACGGCAGATGGCACTGTTTGAAACGAGTCGGGTGGCGGCTCTGGTTGCGTTGTGCTCCCCTCCGAGTGGGACGGTGGAGCCGGAGAGGATGTTGGGGTTGTCGGAGGCTAGAAACGGATTACGGAACGCAGGTTCGTCACGTCGAACGATCTAGACCACAGTGTTCCGCTGTCGGTACGGAGGAGGGGGCAAGACGGTGCCGGCTTTCAGGGAGAACTCTGTCATGTATTCAGGGTTCTCGGCCACCACCGGCCGTATGTGTCCGTTCTGCTTGTAGAAGAGTTTGGCGTTGGTGGAACCACCCTGGGCGCCGTCAGGTGCCGCCTGGTTCGAGGGTTTGGGAGGCAAGCTGTGCTGCCAGTACTCTGGATTGTCAAAGGTCACCTTGAGCTTCTTCCCGCTGGTTTTACCTGCTGACATGTGGCCTCCGTGCTTCAGCATGCTGGCAGGGTGTGTGGATCCGTGGCTCTGGTACGCCGGCAGGCTGCTGTGCCCGATCGTGGCCGCAGTGGACAGGGCAATCGACTGGCACAACTGGGGTTGGGCAGACGCTCCTGTTTGGCTCGGAGCGGTGGAGACGCCACCAGGCTGACCTGCAGGTTTGCCGGTGTGGTGGGCATGGAGGATGTGGGCCGGCGGGCCGTGGAGGCATGACAAGCCAGATGGAGACGGCTGAGCCGAGGGGAGGGGGTAGTGCGGCAGGCTGGTCTGGATGCTGAGAGGGAGGTGGGAGCCTGAGGTGGCGGCAGAGATGGACGGAGCCTGGGCGGGAAGAGGGAGACCATTTCTCCTCAGAGCTTCCAGGCCCAGATCGGCCGGGCTGTGGAAGGTGTTGAGGTAAAGGGGTTCGTTGATGTACTCGTCCTCTCCTTTGGGCAGACTGTTGGGTGTGCTGTGGTAGCCCGGGTTGTCCAGGGCGTGGATCTCGCCGTTTTTGCGCCGCGAGACAAACGGGTTCTCCTCGATCGGATTCAGGTATTCTGCAGCACGGGTCAGGAGAGGGAGGGAGGGTAGGAAAGTGGAGAAGAAGAGAGAAAAGGACTTTGTGAGAGAAGAAGACACAGAAATTAAATCAAGAGAAGATAAAACTAAAGCAATGGAAATTGAAGAAAGAGAGGTCACCGGCTAACGAGGAGAAAAGATGGAGATGGAGATGATAATGGCGATAATGGCAGCCACTCAGGACCAGACGGGCAACTTGCCAGCAGTTCTTTGGCACTAGAAGCTCCATCTGCCGGAGGTGAAAATGCCGGCAAATGACCCCTCAGTGCTTCAGTGCTGTAATAGTGGGGTGCAAACCTATTGATTTTGCCCACTCTCTCACTCCTTGACATTGCATCAGATGCATTTTGCTGCAGGCTTTGTTATATTCCGAGCCGCTCGCAATCAAAGACGCTGGAGCAGGAGCAGAGCTGATGGACTGAATTATGATAAAAAGGCAAAACATGACTGTGGAGTAGCGGCGCACATGCACCGACGTACTCGGCAGGAATTTTAATCAATGGTATGAAATGTATCGCTCGACACGAGATCGTATTTTCTCTGAGCAGAAAGATGACAGAGCGGAGAGAAGGAGCACGAGGCTGGAGATCGCAGCTCAGACAGGATGCACCTGTTTTTACATTTAAATTTGGGTTTCTGTCGCCGGAGCAGCCCAGACGTCCAGCGCTCGGTGCTACTTGTATATTTGCGAGGAATTAATACAAAGGGATGAGGTTACGTTGAAGTTTAAGAGTTTTGCTCAGTGACATGAACTCAGTGAACAAGGCCTGTATTATGTGATTCCAGCTGCTACAAGTACCTGAGGAGCTCTTGTCCTTCATCGGGGTCATGTATCCGTCCTCGTCTGTGTCCCCTCTGGACGTCCTCTCCCCGAGGAAGATGGTGGGGTCAGCGCTGTACCTCTGGCCGCCGCTGTCCTCGCCAGCAGTCTGGCTCAGGCTCTTTTTATGCAGGCTCCCATTGCAGCGCTGGTCCTCCAGGGCTGCGGCGGAGCCACTCGCTGCCTCCTGGTTCACTCCGGCTTGGGCGCCCATCACAGGGCCCTCTGCGGGATTTGGGCCGCCGTCTCGATAGCCAAACTGGTTCTGAGGGAGAAGACGGAGAAGATGAATGTGAGCGGATGTTACTTCGGTTCAAAAACAAGCCAAACTAACGATGTGTGCAGTTCAGCAAACACACTGCGCAGTGCCAAAATAAAAATAAAAGGTTAGCGTTAGATTATGCCACCTGCAGCAAAGGAAGTGAGACTTTAGCAGTGCAGCTGCCCGTTGAAGCTAATACTCAAAGTTGTGCTGGTGTAGTCATCAGCCTGAAGGGAGAGTGAGGGGCAGTCAGGCAGAGCTGGGATTCAAACACCTGAACCTCAGAAAAGAACAAAAAAACCCCACAAGAAAATACAAAACATGACATGTGCAGCAAAGGGCTTCTCGTGGTGCTGTCTTCGTTCGCCGTGGGCTGTTCAACCCAGGCCTACTCCTCTGCACTCTCACCAACTGCAAGCACTGGAGCAGCAATTACAGGAAGCGGAGCAACAAAACACAGGAAAAAAAAAAAAAGAAGAAGGAAATGTCCCGGGGTCATATCTGTCCACCTACTCCCACTGTCTTCCCTCCATCGCAATCAGCTCCAAACTTCTCTGCTCATCCCTTCTTCAAAGCCAGTCATTATCCGCTGCTCTTTTCAAGTGTGAGCGTGAGAGAGAATCAGCCCAGATTAGATAATCGTCTGTATCTGACTGCGTCTGCGGCGCCGCAACCTGAATAACTAACTTCCCTCGGCGAAGGCGGCGAGCCGACGGATCTGAATGACTTCTCTGTTTGGGCGTGTGGGGGCTTCAGACGACGTATTCAAAAGAGTTTCAATTTGCGATAGGGGTGTTGACCTTGAGCGCGGAGGACCCTGGACGGATTAGCGTGCGTGTTTTTGACGTACGTGTGCGCTCGTCTGGGAACAAAGAGCCGTCGGCAAACCGGGCGGGTCGTGTGGGTAAAGGTGCAGAAGCTGCAGAGCCGCGGGCCGGCGGCACGTGGTGCACGCTGCAGAGCAAACAGCCGAGCCTGGCTTCATTGTCTACTAGTAAACGGCCCCGGCATTTTAAAAGAGCGCCTGTTATTTGCTTATGAGGCTCTGAGTAATGAAACATGGGGCCTGGGGAGCCCCTGCATAAAGAGTCCAGATTTAAGCCGCACACTCTGTGAAGGAAATGATGGAGGTGGGCCATTAGCGCAGGAAATCATCAGTGTATTGGAAGTTCTGAGTCACCTTGAGCACGTACAGAGGACGGAGAGCTTTGGACCAAAGGGGAAAAAAACCATTTTGTCTAGTTTATGTAGGGAGGACGTTTTATGGTTAGAAATTCCACATTTAGCCACTTTCATCAACTATCTTTTTTAAATTTAAGGTTATTACATTAAATATCAGTTTTCCACTTGTTTTTTGTTTCCTTACTCTGTTGGAGTCAACTCGAGGCCGGGTGTTATACGACTGTGGAGCCATGTTGAAGCCCTGAGGCACCAGATACTCCTCGGCGTCCATCAGGTCGTTGAGATCCTCCTCGTCCAGGAGGCTCTGGAAGAACTTGCTGTCGTTGGGGCTGGGCAGCTTCATCCGGTCGTCTCCCTGAACACAAGACATATATTTAAATGTCCAGAGGAGTCGTATCATAGAGAG